CTCATAGGAAGCAAGAGATCAGGTGGACATATTTCCTGTGTGTGTATACAGGTAGAGAAAAGAAAAGTATAGCCAGGCAGACACCTGAGGGTAGCAGAGGTGGCAGTCTGGGGCAGGGCTGTTAGGGCACTAGTGGGTCAACCAGATGGAGGTCCATACTGAAGCAGGTTTTGAAGCTGAGATGGGACATGATGAAACTTAATTTGGGAGGTGATCAGGATGAGCTGGGGAAGAAAAGATGAGCATTGCTCTATCTTTTAGCATTATGCTGCCTTTTTAACTTTTTAACTTTTAAAAACAGTTTTTCATCACACTTAGTTGTATATGTGTATGTGTGTGTGTGCACAGTGCATGTGTGGCACTATGTGTGTGTGGAGGTCAGGGGACGTCTAAGAGTTGGTTCTCTTCTTCTACCATGTGGGTCCCTGAATTGAACTCTGGTTATCACGCCTGGCTGCAAGTAACTTTACACACTGAGACATCTTACCAGCACCAGCTTTTATGTTTCAAAATGGCAATAAATAAAATACCAGGAAAAAATAATTCAGTGCTCTAAAATAACACAGCTGACATCATTCTAATTTCCCTCCTGATTTTGTCTATGTCCCCATACATATCTTTTACAATATTTTAATTGGTCTGTGCATCCCATTTCAGCTTTAAGGTTAAAGCATATTTAAAGCCTGTTCTCCCAGGATCAAAACGGTTCAAATTTTGCTTTGAGGGAGGGACAGGAATGAGCTTGCTAAAGTATGTTTACTGGCCAAGGAGTAAGCACTTTACCTTACTGGGACAACAAAGTTTGCTTATTAGATTATTTTTGAAAAGTGGGGTTCCAGAAGCAAAACACCACATACTGGTAGTTGCTCTCCAAAAATATTAGATCAGAATCACCACCAACATAAACATTCCCAAGAACATTATCAAATACTGGGCTTTATCATACGAAGTTTTATGAGACCTGTAACTTTGCAGCTCTCACTGACAAAGTAAAACCCTCACAGCAACTGACATATTAAGAGTCCAATGACTCTTTATATCTCGATCTTAGAGACGAGGATGAGTCATTCAACTTTACAATAGAGCTACACACCTAGCACTGCACCGCATATACAAAGGTCATGGTATGTGAAAGGGGAATTAGGGAAGCTGAAAGGGAAGACAGAAAAACATGGATGTTAACTGAAAGGATAAGCAGCACACAGAGAAATCTGTAAGCATCTGAATTCAGAAGAAGTATTCACATTGACTAGAAGCAGGAGTATTTGGAAAGGAAGAAATGGAATCCCTTTGGGCCAAGTAGACTTAAATGGTTTCCCATGGAATAACCCATGAATTAATCACTGCTTAGGCAATCCAGTTCACATCCTCCCTTCCAAGCAGGATAACTGTGGAACCACTGTCTAACTCTCTTTCAACTGTTCTTGTAAATACCCAGAGTTGGCTAGTTCCACTGTTTACTCAAGGTTATTATTCCACTTGATAATAATAATCACTGAAGTTCACTAAGCAGTTAATAGGTGTAAGGCATCTTAACTTTTAAATACTTTGTGGGTTAGGAACCCAAGGGATAAATGAACATGCCTTTACCACTTCCTCCCTGGTAAAGGAATTAGCAAGAAGGAACCTGAAGGTATTATAAGAAAGAACTAAGAGTCCCAGAGGTAAACAAGTCTTGCAGTTCAACAACTGTATGTACCATCAGCATTTAATTCATCACTAGCATTCATGTAATGACTGCCTGTGGTAAAGTCCCAGCATTAGAGAAGGGGTGGGGACTGGTTCTGCACATATCCCAGGGTGTTATCCAAAACCCACCAGTCAACTTCTCTCCTTATGCTTATGGGTTTGCACATAAGGCAAGAGGCTGCTGAGCTGGAGGCCAGGCTGGATTACACAGAGTAGCTTAATAAAAGAGGTGGGGCAGGGGTGAAGGAGGTGGGAGTGGAGAAGGAAGGTGTTATGGAGGCTGTGCTACCTGAGCATGTCTCCTTGTAAGACTTTAGAACTGACCAAGTAACAGCCATGAAGTGCTTCACAAATGACTTGGTGTCCAAGAACTCAGAAAAACTATTTGGCCACAAGTAAAGGTCATTCCCTACTTTCCTACTGCAATGTCCTCTCCTAGCTCTCCGAAAAGAGAAAATCCGTCCTGCCTGTTACCATATTGTCTACATAAGACCAACTCTATTCCAGTGTCACCTAATAATTAACAAACATTTCCACAGTGGGCAATCAAAACCACTTCAAGGAAACAAAGCAAACCTAGAAAGACAAGTCACCATGTAAAGATTCTGCCCTGAATTTTACGTTTTTCTATTCCTTCTCAACACTATGAAACGGCTTTGTTTCCGTTCAGGATGCCTTGTGTAAGTTCTATTTTTCACCATCACGAGGCCAAGAAAGATCCTGAGAGATCCCTGCCACGTATGTACATGGAAACGCCGGGTGACGAGTTGGGCCATACTATGTCTAGGTGTGAGTTAGCAGGATGCCAACATGTGACAGAGTCACAGCCTTGAATGAAGGCCGAGAGGAACCAACAGGGGTGCGGACGCCCTGCAGGGCTCCCACCTGTCGCTCCCGGTGGTGCTGCCCAGCCTGCTCGGAAGCACGCAGGCCTCCGGGGCCTGGTCTTCACGCAGGGTACTCCAGCGGCCCCAGCCCTCCTCAGGACAGTCGTTCCCCACAGAAGCAGCTCAGGCCCCTACCAACCCCGGCCCTGAAGCCGGTGTCCACGCGAGACTCCGGCCCTCTCCGTGCATCCGGCCTCCACGCGGGACGCTCAGGCCTCGCCCTCTGCAGAGAGCCAGTGTCCACGCAGGCCGCTCGGCCCTGCTCTCCGCGAACCACCCCTCAGATGCGCGTGGTCAAACGCGGACTGCGCGGAACCGAGCGCAGGCCTCAGGGCCAGGCGTGGACTCCCGCCGACCCTCGGCCTCCGTGGTCTCGGGCTTGGCCACCGGTTCGCCCACCGAAGCCCAGGCCGTTCCCCCCGCCCGCCCGCCGGGCGCGCGCCCACGTCCGCGCGTTCTCACCTTGTCGGACCCGCCTGCGCTGCCGCCAGCCTCGGCTTCCACGTCCCGCGGCGGCGCCGCCCGAGCCTGACTGGTAGCGGGTCCCCAGCCCCCGCGGCGGGCGGCGGTCGCAACCACGCCCCCCACGGACGCGCGGGCGATTGGTGTGCCGGCCAGCTGGGCGGGACCCCAGACGCGCCTGCAAGCCCACGCCTGGTTCTGATTGGCTATCCGATGAAGGGGCGGGGCGAGGAAGGAGGCAAAAGCCAAAGCGAGCTTGAGCAGAGCCTCCGCCGGTCCAACGAGGCTTTGGCACAGGGGCGGCTTCCTGTCCGGGATGCGGCTTCGGCACGGCGGGCGGGGCTTCCGTTGGGGGGGGGGGGAGGGGTCCTCTCCTGGGCGGGGGTTCGGCCCGGCAGGCGGGGGCTACGGCTTCGGCACGGCGGGCGGGGCTTCAGTTGGGGGGTGGGAGAGGGTTCCTCTCCTGGGCGGGGCTTCGGCACGGCAGGCGGGGCTTCAGCAAGGGGTGGGGCGGGTTCTTCCCCTGGACCGGACTTTGGAACACTGGGAGGACTCAGCCCTAGGAAGGTCCTCAATCTTGAGGTATCTGGGTTCCTCGACAAGTTTGCTCTTGGGCGGGAGCTCCATGCAGGGTCGGTCAGCTTCAGCACGCAAGCAGGTCTTGCAAAGGGCGGGGTTGCGGGGCTCCGGACTGACCTGGTTCGGAACCGGATCTCGGTTCTTTGGAAGGAGTTTGGGCACGTACAGCAGGGCTGTTCTCAGCTGGAGGCACCCTGCAGACTTCGCACCTCTGCCCAGCTGCTGTTTTCCACCCATCCCATTAGGCATCACCAGGGAACACTGGTCTAGGGGCGCCAGGTGTTCCCAGGGGTCGCTTCAGAAGTGGCCTGTCAAGTCCTGGGCTCTGGAAGCTTCACTGCTCTTTCTGATTTTGAGACAGATTCCAGGCAGGCCTCCCCTCCTGTGGAGCAGCAGTCCCTACCCTGCTTCCTCCAGGGGTTAACTGGCAGGATCCTGCAGGGGCTAAGTAAACCAAGGACCGATTTGCACACAGCTTCAATCCACTCACAGAGCCTAGGCCTGTGGGACAAGGTGGGGGGGGCTGGGGCACAGGACTGGGCTCAGCACTGTGAGGCTTCCAAAGGTCCTCCACTGCCCAGGTTTTTCCCTCTAACCAGCTGTTAGCTCAATTACAGGGAAAGGACAGGACAGGAATCAGGAGTTAAGAGCCAGCAAATCAACTAGAGGAGGCAGAGGAAGAGGGAGGGCATGGGGCCCAGATGATCCTGAGGCCTGGGAGTAGGTGATCTAGAATAGGGTAAAGTTCAGGGGTTTTGTTTTGTGTATGTGTGGGTGTGTGAGGGCCATGATCCACTGGTGCCGGGTCCTGACTACCATGTAGGTCCTAGGGATTGAACTCTGGTAGTCAGGCTGGCAGGTACCCTTACCCACTGATTCAACGAACCAGCCCAAGTTAAGGATTTAAAAGTTGTTTTTCTATGCAGGGCATGGTGGCACACACCTTTAATCCCAGCACTTGGAAGGCAGAGGCAGGCAGATCTCCGAGTTTGAGGCCAGCCTGGTCTACATAGTGAGTTCCACACCACTTGGAGACCCTGTCTCAAAAAGGACCCCAAAAAAAAAAAGTTGCTTTCCTAATATTTCTTCTTAGATATATTTGGGTCACTTTAGTTACCATTATTTAGAAGCTGTTTCTTCATTTTCTAATTAGTAAACCTAGCACTGAACTGTCAATTTTTACCAGGTGATCCCGTAGATGATCTCCTAACCTGTACAAGTCAGGCCCTTTGTTTTGGGATATCTCCAATGAGCACTACTGATGCAGCACTGATGCTGTAAGTTCCTGCTATTATGCAGACGGTACTGGGGCCCTCAATCTTCCCCACAGACCTCATACCTACATTAAAAAACAAAACAACAAAAAAACCCCACAACTGCTGATTTAATATCTAAACAATAGTGCTTTATTGAAAAGGGGTTAGTTTAAATGGATACACTTGTGTAAAATAAGTGTTTTCAAAATACATTTCTAGAGGTACAGGTTATATCTTACTGAAAGAACAATTATTTATTAGCAAGAGTGTTCAGAGTAGGGCAGTAAACTGAAGGGGATTTAGAACTGTGGCTTCAAGAACTCCTGGAGAATACTGGCATCCTCAGATGGCAGCTGGCCCTAAGTAGTACCTTTAACTCAACATACATGGGGCTTATGCTGAGTTCTTGGAAATGCCTTTTTGTTTTTAAAACCAGCTTTCTTCAACAAAGTTAGTATCAAAATATCCTGGCTAAATGACCACATAGGCAGACTCAAAGTCATGAGCACTTTTCTTGGTAAACTTCACACGATGAACCTCTGATCATTCACAATAATGCAATAGTGAAGGGGCAAAGTGAGCCAACATGTAAGATTGTTTTCTGCTGTACATCTTTATGACTAATTAATTTTTAGTTTCATTTTATTAGTACTATTATTTTTAGCCTAAACAAAAAATACTCAGAACCCTTGTCTTACCATGAATCAAGCACCTTCTTCGGCTTGGTCACTGTGCTGCAGTAAAATGAAAGCAAAAGGAGCACACCCTCCTGGTTACCACTCCCCTTCACTTGCCCCTTTCCATGGTCACCAGCTGACATTAGGAAACATGATGGCAGGAGAGGCAGAGCAGGGCAGGGGTCCAGAATGCCAGTGTGGCGGTGCTTGTTATTCTTGAAAAAATCATACTATACAGATGAAGGCAACCACAATGGATGAAACAAGTGAGACAGGCTGCACGTAAAAAGTTAGCACTCGAGATCTTCCCCTCAAAGAGAACAATTAGAGGAAAATCTCGCAGGCGTTTGGGTTTTGTGGGGCTTCGGCCTTTGTGTAGGAGTGCAACCCACGTGAAAGGCCTGTGCTCAGGACCATACCACCTTACAACTGTAATAGCCACCGCAGTGGCAGATTGTTTGCACCTACAGTTACAGAAAGTACATTAAAGTGCAGTATAAAAAAGTTTGGTTTCTTAAAAAAATTATTGCTTTTAGTTGAATAAAAGTAGTTTATTAACTCTTACTGTGAAGCTGGAGTTCACAGCTGCTTTGATTTTCAGCACAGCATAATCAGCATCCAAACTGTCAAAGTCCTTGTGGCAAGTTCTAAACAGGTCTGAAAGTGATCTAGCATCAGAATCCAGAGATCTTAAAATTCAACCCTGAAAGCCTCCTTTTTAAAAGCTATTAGGTATAAAAATGATCTCATCAGATAATTCTCCTCTGTTCTACCTGGTTAACAGATAAATGTGCAGATGAGTTAACTGTGTTAACTATAGCAGCAAAATTGGTTTTAGGTGTTCTGCACAACTATAAAGTTAAAAGTGTCCAAACACTGTGACTTTGTTATAATAAACAAGTATCTTGTGTCACCAAGTTTGCAGTCTTTTTGTCAAAGGTACATGTCTACCACAGAGGAGCATTCTAAGCAAACTGAAATGTCCTAGATATGAACCAAGAGTGCTCATGAATGATCAGTTAGTCAGGCCAATGAAGTCAAAGAAATTCACTATTAAGTATATAAGGTGACTGACTCTTACAAATAAATTCTAACATCAGTGGTTAAGGAGAATAAAAAAATGAGAGTTTACCTTGCAAAATATAAACCGTAACAAAGCCATGAAATACAAATGTCAAAGTACTTCATACAAAAGAAAAACATCGAAAGTTTAAAAACAAATGGAATCTTCCGGCACAGGTACATGAATTTGGAGCAAAGATTTAAAAGGGCCTTAAGAAATTTGAAGTTGTAGCACTCGTCAGGAATGTTTTCTTTTTATCCACGTTTTCTAGAAAGTCAAAACAAAATTTAAATGAAGTGTTTTGTTTGTTGATCACTAACAATACTTTCTTTACATAACAAAGTACATAAATTGTGCAAAATGTTGTGTACCTATGTCCAGGGAACTACACCAAGATGCTGTAGGACCTGTTACTGAGAAGTACAGAAGTATAGCAGGTCAGAGGTCAAGGATACACTAATTACACTGGCTGTAGCACAGCTGCCTGAAGGACCTGTAAGTGAGTGGTCTACAGCAAGGAGACCCTCTTCATCTATCTGGCATTAATTCCTCTTTGTGGCATCTTTACTTTTCATCTTCAACGCTTTTAATAAATTAAAGAGATTCTTTTCGAAGATGTTCCCAACATTAGCAAACTTCCAACAAATATGACTAATTAAAGTATTTAAAATTTTTCTTTAATATAAATCATATTTATAGCCTTAGAAAATGTGAACGTCTTTACTAGACAGTAGGTGGCAGTAGAGAGCAGCTTCAGCTTTTTAGGAACAATCCCTGTTCATTTAAGGTTAGTCACCTAGCTAATGGCAGAGACTGAAAATGTGAAACAATAACAGTTAAGGCAAAAAGCGCATTATGCTAAAGGTGAGCTGATTACGTGATCACTCAGTAACAGTTGCTTGTCAATCCACACCGGGGGTCTACCCCTCAATTTAATGACATGCAAACTTCACCTCACACGTGGTGTCCAAGAGTCCCACTGTCACTGTCACCACCCTGCATCTGCATCTGCATCTGCGCCTGCATCCTTGCGATCATCTCCTGCATGCGGCGTAGCTATGGACAGTACATATGTCAGACACGGTGTTGATGTCTCTTATCAATATTTATGGATGTTCTGTGATTCCTAAAATTTTAATTTTTATTGCTTTGCCCAAACATGACAATATGTTCAAATAAAAAGAACACTTATAAATCAATAAAAGGATCAACAATTCATCAGAAATCCATGTAATGACAAACATATACAACCAAAGATAGAAATTATCAATAAACAGAAGTAATAACTGAAAATTCAGACAAGATTTTTCTTTAGTCTGAAAGGCAAGGAGACCGTCGTTACTCACTAGGAACACAAAAGAAAGGGGACTGGGAATAATGTACCTTTTCTGAAGGGCAACAAGGTTCTAGATATGAAAACAATGAATGTTTCCCCACTGTCATCCTTACCGATTTTTCTTTGAGATACAGTCTTAATGTAGCCCAGACTGGCCTCAAACTAAGCTAAGGATGACCCTGAGCTCCTGATCCTCTTGCCTCAACTTTCCAAGGGCTGGGATTAAAGGCAGGAGCCAGCATGCTCAGCTTATGCCCTGCTGAGATTGAACCCAGGGCTTCCTGTATTATTGACAGGCATTCTACAGCCTCATTACCAACTTTTGTCATTATGGTTTGTATGTGTTCAGAATGGTTCCAGACAAGTATTATAAAATAAATCTTAGGTATCTTGTTTATGACTGAACAAATATGTGATCCACACTGAATTAATCTGGCTAAAGTGATTTCTTATTGTTTCTAAATGGCTGTCATCCCCTTGTGGCCTTATCACTACAAAGCAATGTGTCTGCACTCCACAGCTCTACCAGGTTTGAATGGACATTTCTATATTCTGGATCTATTTCTATCTGGTCTCTATTTCTATCTTCATGGTCTCTCTGTAACCAAGAAGGCAGAGCTCCCCAAGGTTCTTATGCTTATTCCTTAAAGCATCAGAATCACTTTACCAAATACTCCCCTAAGAAAGAAAAGAACAAATACCACTCTTCTAGAGCTTTTTTATTTCTTTTCTTTTTTAGATAGGGTGTTCCTGTAGTCCCAGCTGGACTGGAACTCAGTATGTAGATCAGGCTGGCCTTGAACTCACAGAGATCTGCCTTTTTGCCTTTCGAATGCTGGAACTAAAGGCGTCCAGCCTGGCTTTTTTTTTTTTTTTTGTAAGACAGGGTCCTTGAGGGCCTAGACCAGGCTGGCCCCAAGCTCACAGAGATCCACCTGCCTCTGCCTCCCAAGTGCTGGGACTACAGGAGTGCGCCACCATGACCAGCTGAGTACTGACTTCTTGTACTGACTCCCTCCACCCCAACGTCTTGTGTCCATTATCATCTTCATAATCTTTTTTTAATTAATTAATTAATTTATTTATTTATTTTTGGTCCTTTTGAGACAGGGTCTCCCTGTAGCCCCAGCTGGCCTGGAATTCACTACTATAGACAAGCTGACCTTGAACTCAGAGATCCACCTTTAGTGCTGGGACTAAAGGTGTGTACTGCCACCATCCCCACGCCCAGCCTCACCTTCATAATTTTATCAGTGGAGTTTTCTCATTTTTTCTTCTGTGTAAGTTCTGTGCATTTCTATCAAATTTTTACACATGTGTATCTGTCTTCAAAAAGTTAAGAAAAACTATAATAGCTAATTACATATATATTTTTTTTGACAGAAAACAGCTTTTATACTCTAGAAGACTACTTTTTGATTTACCTCAGCCTCCTTTTCTAGCAAGATCTGGTCTTTATTCATGTCTTCGTTCTCCACTTTCCTAGGAGTCAAAAGAATTTAAGATTATGACACTGCAGTGTATGTGATGGCTACTTATAAATACAGTTAACCAAGGAAAAACTGCTTTAGAAATCTGAAGAACACCCATTTAAAATCACGTTTACTTTTTAAATTAAAGACATGACAGAACAGAATAAAGAAAAATGACAGAGCATGGAATAGGGTTACAGAGACACCCTGTCTAAAAAAATAAAACAAACAAAAAGCAGGTCTAACCTGAAGAAGGCACTTGGCTAGGGGTAGGTGACCCTTTATGACACTATAAATAAAATCACTATACTTAACTGAGTAGGAAGGTGCTGAATCACTGAACAGAGTCTGGGAGAGTACAGTGGAGTAAAGCCCTCTAAGCACAGGGCTGCTTCAGGTTTTCTAGTTCCACTACTTCTAAACCCTTTCTCAATGCCTGCTTCTCAAGAAACATCATACATCTTTTTTCTGAGACAAGGTCTCTCACTATATTGCACTTGATGGCTTCAAACTTGCTATATAGAGCAGGCTGGCCTGGTCAAGTGATCTGTCTGCCTCTGCCTCCCAAGTGGTGGAATTAAAGGCATGTGCTACCACGCTCAACAAATTGGTTTTTTTAAAAATATTTTATTATTTTTATTTTATGTGTATGAGTGTTCTGCCTGCATGCAGATAAGTGCACCCATGTCGTGCAATGCCTGTGGAGGACAGAAGAGGCCGTCGGATCTCCTGGAACTGGAGTTATGGACAGCTGTTAGCTGCCATGTGGGTGCTGGGATTTGAACCTGGGTCTTCTGTAAGAACAGTCAGTGTTCTTAACTGCTGAGCAAGCTCTCCAGCCCCGCTCAGCAAATATTTTAAACTTCAACAAACGGGTTTTTTTTTTTTTTTTTTTGAGACCACATGGTCTCACTAGATATTCCAGGTTCTCCTTAAACCTGGTGTTCTCCTGTTTCTACCTCATGACTGCTCCAATTACAGATGCTCTAGGATGCCAGGCCTCAAAATTCTTAAAATTTGCTTTAAATGATGTGTAGGTATGTGTGTGGGTATGTGTATACATGACTGCTAGTGCCCAAAAGACACGAGATGTATCAGATCACCTGGTGGTGGAATTACAGGTGGTTGTGAGCAGCCTTACATGAGTGCTGGGAACCAAACTCAGGTCCTCTGCAAGAGCAGTATGCACTCTTAACTGATCAGTCATCATTTACTCATTCAGCTCTACTTTAAGTAGAGTCCTGATTTAATCAGATACAAAATGGGTCACAAACACACATCACATATAAACAGACATAAGGACTGTGAAAAAGAAAAGGTGAATGAATGTGGCTACAGGCAGGAGAGCTGCTGGTCCAGTGACACCCATGGTGAGCTGAACCTCTACAGCTCAAACTGCCAGCAACCTGCCCTCACAGACACAGCAGTGCTTCTGAAGCGCCAATGTCAGCTCTTGCCTTTCCACCTAAGTTTGTTCTTGATGTGTACATTACAAGATCCTTTCAGCCCTGCTCTAAGGTTTGATGAAATAGGCAGCAATGCTCTTATAACAGCTTTTGAGTAGGAAGCACATCTTGCTTTGGGATTAAGAGGTCTGTGCTAAAGAAAAAAAAAGAAAAGAAAAAAGAAAAGACGGGGAGAGAGAGCTCTGGGGGAAATGACACAGGAGGAAACAGTATGACAACCTGCCGCCTCTCTTCAGCCTCTCAGAACGGAAGTTTTCATAGTGAAGATCCTGGGTCACTTCCTGGAGGTCCTGCATGTGAGTGCTGAAGGAGAGAAGAAACACACCAACAGGGGCTGACTGCATATGACATTCTCATGGGGAATAAAACTAAAGGCCACAGAAGAAACATCAGTACCTAGAGCCTAAATGATTATTTGGTAAACTGTGTAGTACACAAGAATGCTAAAATTTCAGGCTAAGGTGTATGACCATGGGAATGCCTAGTGAGTACAGCTCACCCTTGCAACCACAAGGAGTAACACACACAGGTCTGGAGAGGACTCTTTCTGCTGACATTGCCAGACTCAGTATGCAATTCAAATATTCCTGATGTATTTTCTGCCTAGCTTTTTCAAACACTATACTCTTAAGAATGAAAGAATATCAAAACACATTCCTGCTTACTCAGAATATTGGGAAATAGTCTGAATGCTGGTAAAGGGGAACCTGTTTCTCCCTTATACTAAGGGACACATAACTGGCACTAACATAGATATACTTGCACTCAATGTGCAGCCCCACATTTCCTAAATGAGACAAGGGGGCTGAGACAGCCAAGGGGTCAACAATACAGGGCCCAAGGGAGCCCTGCTCACAGACTATTATGCTACTTTTTTTAATAGCTTAGATGGTGACATATGACTAGTTCTCACTCACTAAACACTGTTGGCGTGAGGGATACATGGCAATTATTAAAGAATTAATTTACCCAGATGAACTCTGCTCATTAAACAGGTTTACTTTATGGAAAACTCTTAATAGGAACACTTGAAGGCTTCATAAAGAAGTGATAGGGAGATGTAAATTGTTTACTACATGGGTATTAAATATTCTGTACCCCATAAGTAGGTACAATTACATGCTAAAAAAAAAAAACAACAAAAAACAAAACCTCACCAGATACCAGTGTGGTCCCTCTTAGATATTCCAGCTTCCAGAAAGAAACAATTCTTTATAAATTACAACAGTGCAAAAGTAGATAAGGACAGCCTTCCTTCAATCCTACATTTCCAACAACATTTAGAACACCCATTAGAGGAGTGACCAAGATCGCGGCTGTCACCTTACATAGCAGTTATTTCAAAACACGAACAAACTGCAGAAACAAAAATCACCAAAAAACACAGGTGCACAAATTCTCAACAAAACAGAAAATGAAGTGAAAGAGCACACAAATATTATAAACTATGAACATGTGCAATTTATTCCTAGGGATGCAACATGCACAATATGGAAATTCACAAGGATAAAATACTCTAACCACATATTGAACAACACTTTGCATCAAAATGTACTCTACAAGGTTAAAGAGGCTCTTGTACAAGACCTGGGTTTGGTTCCTAGCATCCACATGGCAACAAATAACTCTCCCTAACTCCAGTTCCAGGGGATCTAACTCTTGTATGGTTTCTACAGGCACTGCATATACATGGTACACTTACCTAAGTGTAAGCCACTCATAAACATAAAATGCAAATACGTTCCTAAATTTTTAATTAATAAAAAAGTATTCCAAAAGTCAGGTGGCTGAAGTACCAATATGGGTGCAGTTTGGAGACAGAATCCAGGGGAAGAAAATGATGTCAAGAAGACAAGACCTTGAGTGATGTACTGGGATCCCAGCACTGTGTCTCTGCTTCCTGCTAAAATGAGGGGAGCAGCTCTGCTCTGGCATATGCTCTCACCAAGATAGTCTTCCTCAACACAGGATCAAAGTAATTTGGCCAAGTAACTATCATCTGAAACTTCTGAAAAATCATGAAACAAAATCAATCTTCCTTAATTTTAAGAGGCTTGTCTCCATCTACCACCATATGGGTCCTGAAAATTGACCCTCAGGTCTTCAGACATGGTGGCATGCATCTTTATAAGCAGAGCCAATTTAATGGCTCCTATATATTCATTTTTATTCTCCCTCCCCCACCCCTCGTGTGTGCAAGAGAGACCCCACAAGATGGACTTGAGCCAGTGTCCAGTCTACAAAGACGAGGGTGAACTTGGAGGAAACATCTCATTCATGCTTCCAAGTAAAGCCAGACAGGTTGAGCATAACCTTTGACTTATCTTCACAAAGATGGAACTGGTAAAAGAAAGGAGCCAGGAGCTCCTCCCAAGCCCATGTGACCCCTGAGGAACAGATCCTCAAACGACCTTAAGTGTAAAAATAAACTGATTTATTTGGGCCAACTGTATGGTCTTAAACACCCAAAAGGAAAAGTATAACCAAAGAGTAAAGTCATCAATATATTTCTTTAAGAGGTCAAGGGATTACACTTCCCAGACATTAGGCTTAAGTCCATATACAAAGTTTATTTACGGGATGGAGAGATGGCTCAGCGGTTAAGAGCACTGACTGCTCTTGCAGAGGACCTGGGTTTGATTCCCAGCACCCACATGGCAG